AAAATTGAGGTTAATAAAGATGATTTTGATATTTTAGGTTGGTGGAAGCTAAATGGTCCTAAATTTCCTATTTTTTCTCTAGTGGCAAGAGATGTTTTGGCTATTCCAATTTCTACGTTTGCATCAGAGTCTACATTCAGTACTGAAGGACGAGTTCTGGATTCATTTAGGAGCTCTTTAACTCCTAAAATTGTGCAATCTCTAATTTGTGCTCAAGATTGGCTTAGACGCTCAATTCAACATGTTGTAGAAGAAGGGAATGATGATATCCAAAAGATAGAACTTGGTAATATTTTATTTTTACTTCATAACATTATAAGAATAATATAATGCTTGATTTATTATAATATATGAAGTCTGATTTTGTTTTTCTTTGTGTAGATTTGCAAAAAATTGCATTGGAGGCAACCGTTGATGTACTATAGATGCAACAGGGAAAAAACTTAGAAGTAAACAAATCTTGTGCTTAATTTGTTTGTTTTTTCTTTAACTCTAAAGTTGTGCACTCTCTAATTTTCTTGTTTAATTGTAGTTGTTGGTTGCTTGATGGCAAGTTGTATGCAAAGAACTTAGGGACAACTAATGGCTGGAATTTCAAGCTGCCTTGTGGAATTTCAGGGAAAAAACTTGCGTGATTCTCCACCAGCAATGTCAAATCTTTTCTTTGACTGAATCTATTCTAGATTGCTTGCTGAATGCTATTGTAATATTTTGGGTTACTTATTTGATTTCTACCATGTGATGGTGGGGTGTTGAATGTCTTCCTCCTCATATCATTGGTTTTTGCCCTCAGATGGTGGTTCTTTTTGTTCATTGATAGTGGTTCATGAATCATGATGGTTCTTCTAGCCATGCCTTGCGCTAGCTTTGATGGTTACTTTTTGAATTTCATGGGTGTTCTGGTCTTTTCATGGATATTAAATTTTGGGAGAATTGCAACTACATATTTACAACTTGTCATTGACTTTTTGATAATTATTCTGTCTCACAATATATGTAATGTGTAATAAGATATATTTGATTTTGGAATTTAAAACTTCTATTACACCTTTCAAATATCCAAATTCTATGTATAAAAAGAGCCCAAAAAATCATTAATTCCCACTATTTAGACTTCTTGTGCATACTGGGCTGGAATAATCTTGAACAAAAAAAAAGGCCCAATAAAAGCCCAATAACTGAATGAGCCCACTAACCAGACCGAATATATTTCAGTTATTTCGGTTCAGTTAGTTTACTGTGTTCGGTTTCAGTTCGGTTTCTTAATTGTGATCATTTAGGTTATTCGGTTATTTCGGTTATTGACACTAACCGAACCGATTAACTGATTACTCAGCCCTATTAGCCATAGTAGAGTTTGCAATTCTGAGCTTTCTTTTCCCAACAAATATATTTCATATTGAATGCTGAGGCACATCGTCAAATATGCATCTCAAAGTCCACAACACAGTTCTATTAAGAAACCATTGCCATACAAGCGGTTTCAAAAGTAGCTTGTAAAAAAACTAGATTACAATATGCACTGCAACTTTATATAGCCGTCCTACAATTTGTGTTAAGGAAGTTAATATTTATCATGGAATTTCAAGGTTTAGAAATATTCAGTACCATTCACTAAGTAAAAGAAAGGAACAGAAAAATAGGTCAGTCGAACCATATTCCTCGGCAAAGTTATAAATGGCTGCATAACTACATACAATGTCCATCAGACATATATAAACAGGATAGCATCAGACACAATAGCCCCTTGATTCTGACAAAAAACAAAAAAACATTATCCATAACATAGAGAAGGAAAAAAAAAAACCAATAGAAAAGTATAGAATCCCCAACCAGTTGGACTTATCGCCCCTGCTCGGACAGGTAGCGAAGATTATCTATTTTACTTAAACTTTTCCACATACGGGCCCACGAAAACTTTGGTTAAGATTAAAACTTTCATCTAAGGTACAAAAGTCCCACCAAGAAAAGAAATCTTGACCAACGAATTAAGAGCTAAATTGATGGAAACAATGAAACTTTTCAACATTTTTATTTAATTAAATAATAAATAATTGTCACCAGTATAAGAATGTAGAATCTTAATATATAGTTGGCATCCCATAGCAGGCAAAAAGTACATTTTATTTGAATAAAATTTACATATGTATGATAGGCTGAAGTTTAAATTAATGGGAATTCACCACATGTATTTTCCATTCAATATCCAGAAATTTCCACATTGCATGAGCAATTAGATAAGGACCTCAGCTCTCTAAAGGAGAAATGTCTATACTCCAGTCCTGAACGTCTTACTTTCCATTATTTCAAAATAAACCAATAAGATATTAGAAATAACAGGGAACGGAAGCATCATTACACATCAGATGGAAAAGCAATATGTCAAATTCCAAACACATTCAATAGATACAGAACAAATGAAAAAATACTCTTTAAATGAAATACAATGAAAAATACCTGAAGGTAAAAAGGATGATCCATCGTTTTCAACTCTTTAAGAACAGAAAGCCAGTCAGCTCTAATAGGCTTCATGATCCTCACCCAAGCCCCCAACAGATCAGACATGTTTCCCTTCTCAGGAGAAAAGCATATAATCCGTCTCATCAGGGCCTTACAACGTTTTTCCATCTTGAAAGGAAGTTGAGATATGGCTTGTTTTTGTGCTTCTGTAGTGTCATGGCCTATCTCAACCCATCTAAACTCTCTCCGGTTTTCTTCTAGCAATTTTGACTTTACAATGTCCTCCTTACTGATCCTTACTTTTAATGAAACAAACTGGTGTTTATGGAAATCCGAAGATCCAAGTTTCCAAAGTAATGAATTTCCACCAATATGATTGCCATAAAACCCAGCTCTATCATTAGTTACTGAGAGACTTGAGAAGCAACAATTGGATAGTAGCGGATAGGAATTGGTTCCCATCATTGAAATAATACAGAACTCCGTGATCTCAAATATTCATCCAGAAGCTGGAGGAACATAAGGAGAATTATCTAATTAATGAAACAAGTGGAGCGGGAGAGCGCAATAAAATAAAACCACAGCCTACGAATCTAAAGCACTCCATTGGAGTGAGACACTGAAAAATGCTTCCAAAAGTCACTTGTCAAAGAAAAAGAAAAATATATTTACATAAAAAAAAGTGCCTACAAAATCTATTTTTAACGCCATTGCACAAAAACTAACTCAGTTTTTCTTTTTTGGCTTTTTTTTTGAAGGGTGGGTGGGTAGCATTGTATCAAATATTAAATATTAAATAACCTTTTTGTCAGCAATCGATCAATGACAAACTTTGAGTCCTCTTACAGTCTCTGTTATTTTCCTCCTCTGAAAGTGTTGTTTAAAGTGCTATACGCCATAACAATATTTATGACACCCCTCCCTTTCAAAAAGAACCCCAAAAAAAAAAAAACAGAGAGAAAGAGCACAAAGACAAATCAGATTCCTACTTTCAGAACCCACTTGGTTGGGTGAAATTTTATTGCGGGAAATGGAAATCAACCTCCCATGAATTTAAAACCACCAGTTTTCTATTACCTCTATCAGTGCTGTCACCTGTGGCACCAATTCCCTCTCTCCGTCAACTCTCTCAGTCCCCTAGCTACATCTAATGCATCCAAAACCATCGCCCCCCAAAAACACCAAGCCTTTATTCATGCTGTCCAACATAATTCATCTTGTTATATAAACCAGTAGGGAAAGCCAATTCTAATCCAGGTTATCTGAATTAGATGATATTATTCCTCACTTTACATGTACTCCAGTGAAAGGGGTGAGGGACACTTGTGCAGTTCATGTTTATAAGAAGAAATTAACACCAAGTAAAACAAACGAATGGACACAAGTTTTACCCAAATTTGACAAGGGCTTCACTGTAAAGTTCAGAGTCACGTGATTAGGCTAATAGATTTCCATGTTATTCTAATGCCATTGCCAAATGACCCCTCATACCCAAGAACAAAAATAAAGAAGTTATAGCAGCTTTTGAAAAGTATACACGGATAAGTAGATCACAGAACATATTCTATTAGAGAATGAAAGGAAAAGAAAATTTCTTCTCTTCTCATTTGTACAAAGAGTTTCCCAGTCCTTAAAATTGATTTCCGGGAAAATTAATCAACCAATTCTCATAAATCAAGTCCATGTCATTTGAATTGGACTCTTATAGCTTGACATACTATAGGCATCCATCCTGAGGGAAAATTCTTTATAACACTGTTAATGTTAATGTATAGTTGGAGCCTACCTTAGCAGACCCGAGGATAATACTTGGATAACTAAGTGAAGTGGCAGCCAGGTGGATAATTTAAGTGATCTGGAAAATTAAAAATCCCTACCACTAGTTGCACCCCACCTCAAATGTCCGTCGCGTTCTCATCACGATTATTATATCCTCTTGTTAAAGATTTTAATCCCAACAAAAAGCCATCGGTGGATCATACATCAGTGGCAACCGACTCAATCCAGTTATTACAAACAAGAAACCCTCCTGAGGCTAGCACGCCAAAATAGGCCTTTCACCAACATTCAACAACTTCAACCAAAGAAAAACAGGAGGTTTCATTAAGTTGAATGCAGGGGGAAAAAATTACCGTTTCACGGATATATATATATATATATATATATAGAGAGAGAGAGAGAGAGACACACACACACACACAATGCTATTGTGGGCATTAAATGACTGTGGAAAAAGCACAAAAATAATTTGAATTTTTCATAATCACAGGGGAAGTTATATGCGTGATACGAAGACAATGTGTGAACATTCCAGTATAATCTCCAAGGAAATGCAGAAACTTTCAAGAGAAAGACATGCTCACCTGGCACTAGAGCGCGCGCAACAACGATGGCGGAGGGCGGAGGCAGAAGGGCGGACGAGGTCGAGGAAGAAGGAAACAGAACGGCGGAGGCGCAAGGACGAAGGGAACAGTGAAGAGTGAAGAGACGATGAACGGTGAAGCAAATCTGCGAAGTGAAGGGGAGGTAAGTGCGTGTTGCGTAAGCGTCGCCGAACTCGCGGACGGAAGCAGATCCTGTCCGTTCGGATTATCCATCCAATAACTTACCAACTGCTGTTATTGGGAGATGTTTGGCTTCTTTAAAAGCTATTCTTAAAAAATATTTTTATAAATTGAGATAAACACATCTACATATTTAATTCATATACTATAAAAGTATTTTTAAAATTATGGTTTTGATTCCATCCAAATATCTCTTTAATGTAAGAACTTATCAAATTTTTTATTTTGATCTTAAATATAATATTTTAATTTATTTTATTTTTTATATTTATTTTTTTAAGTAGTTTTTATAATATTCTTGATTAGTAAAAATATTTTAAAAAAGACACCACCTATTTATTATAAATAATTAAATTAATTAATTTTATTAAACTACTCAAATTAATTAATTAGCTTATATATTAAAAAACGAAGTTAATATGATGCACTATCATCAAGCTATTAAAAATGAATTTTTCCCATTCATCTATTGTAATCCTAACCACGGTCCTTCTACTTCTACTGAGTTTAACTTCACGAGAAATCACATTCTCCTCATTCTATCATCAAATAGGTAGGCTTCTTTATTGCCTCTCAACATCACTTGACAAGAGATCTTAACTTTGTTTTTTTTATTTTTGTTGTTAATTTTAGGTTTATTTCGATATCACTTTTTTATGGCTTTTTAGGATGTCATTTTATTTTACTGATTATTTGTAACTTATAAACTTATATTATCCAATATTATTTTGTCTTTTTCTTTAAAAAAAATAGATATGCTTCAACATTCTCCCACATTTTGCTAGCTTCATTTATATGAAATAAATATATTAGCTTGGATGGCTACTCACCTTCATACTAAAAGGGGTAAGGCAAAAAAAATCACTGTTTTTTTCCTTTGAATTGTTGAAATCTGAGAGAAAAACAATGATTTGAAAAATTTTTAGAGAGATAACTAAGGCGGTAATAAATCACTCATATTTTTTAAAACAACAGATAGTATTTCTTTTTACATTTTTGTAGAAATGTCACAAAAGTTACAATTGTAAAAAAAATTTCAACACAAACTTCTCTTTATTGAGGAAAGCTTTTTTTCATTTTGTTGCATCTATCTACTATAAATTTTCTTTCATGTGTGAATTTTTTTTTTTGTTCCCCATTGCATCTTTTTTTATGTTTGATTTTTGTTAGGATGTTTTTTAATTTATGTAGTTTCAAATTTTATTAGAAGTTTTGCTATGTGTGTTACATAAATGTATTTTGTAGGTTTCAATCTATGGTAGCTAATTTGACTCCTAGATTAGGAAAAGAATTTAATAATTAAGTTTGGAATGAATATGCTTGTAGAGAAGGCTTTAGTGTAAGGAAAAATGGGTCAACAAATAGTAAGAAAGGAAAAAAAAATAGCTTAAAGCGTAAATATACCCATAAACTTTTACCAAATGTGTGCCTAGCATCATGAATAAATCTTGAGTATAAAAATACATATGATATTTTCAAAAGATAGCAAAAATGTCATAACAGTTCATTATTACAATGTTAACTATTTGTGTTGACCGAAGATAATGATGTGAATATTGATGTGGCTTAGAGGATATGATAAAAGGGGGGTTAAGGTGCAAATACACCTAAGAACATTTGCCAAATATGCACCTAACACCATAAACAAACTTTGGGTGCAAAAATACTTGTGAAGCTCTCCATGTCACCCACTCATTCATTTCATCCCTCTCATTCTCTCGTGTTCTAAGAAGAATAGTGCTACTCTCTTAGCTCCACTTTAGTCTTCATCAACAAATAACTAGAGGAGATATGATAAGAGTAACTAAGAGGGTAGTATTATTGTTCTTCGAAAAGGATAGACTTAGAAAAATGAAATAAAGGAGTAAGTTTTTTGGATAGCTTCAGCTTATCTCCTCTTCAATGAAAGTGCGACAGTGAAGAGAGAATGTTGTTGGGATCAGAGGGAGATTGAAATGCCAGCTTAGGATCCGTGTCATCTTATTTGATCAAATGTTTTACTCAGAAGATCAACTTTGATGAATTAAATGACTATAGCATTTTAGGGTTCTTTTAGAATGATTATAAACATTTTTGCACTAAAAGTTTGTTTATAGTATCAAGCACCCATTTAGGAAAAGTTCATATGTATATTTTCACCGTTACTCTTTTTTATCTAACCCTCTAAGACACATCAGTATTCATGTCATCATTTTCGATCAAATAAGTAGTCAACATTACAATAGCTAATAGTCATGGTATTTTTGTAACTTTTTGAAATCTTCATGTGTATTTTTACATTCAATATTTTTTTGTGGTGTCTAGCGCATATTTGGTAAAATTTCATTAGTATATTTACACTTTAACCCAAAGACAATGGCTGCTTCTAGATATGTTTGTTCAAAAGAAGGTGAACGAAAACCAAATAAAAGGTCACCTCGGCTATAATCATCGTGTTGAGACCAAGAGTAATTGTAAAGTTGAAATGACAGCTAATTGGCAAGATAAATCCAAGATCACTAGCTTTATGGAAGAGTATAACCATCCATTACATCTTCAAGAAATTGTGCATATGATGAGGTCTCAACACAAAATAAGTAATGCACATGCAGATGAGATTGATTTAGCTAGGAATGCTAGAATTAAACAAAAAGCAATATTTGACCTTATGAGTAAGCAAACAAGTGAGTAAGTTGTGACATCCCAATTTTATTTCTAGGATTTAAGAAATATTAAAGAGGAATTATTGCATGGTAAATAGAATTTACCATATAATTATTTGAGAAAATGTATCCAAAATAAATTAAATATCAGAGATATAAATATGATCTCAAGTCATAATGCTAGAAAAGAGATAAAAGAGAAATAATAAAGTTCAATAAACATAGATGAAGTAGTTTTCACCTAAAAATTTTAGTTATCTAGATATTATAGGTTGAAATTGTCAATTAAGTTTAGGGAGGATCCAATTAAATCTAATTAAAATACCTAAATTCCTAATTAGGCCATGAGACCTCATTAAGAATTTTTGAATGTTATTAAATGATCAGAATATCTCTATTTAATTTAAAAAAATTAATTATTTTACCCCTCCCAAATGGTTACTCTTTTTTCTTATGATTATTTTTTGAGACAAAGAAACACATAAATAATTTTATAATGTTTAAAATTTGTATATATAACTAAAACCTCTAAACATATTTTAATCAAACATTTTAAATTACAATATAAGTAACTTTTAAATAAATATTTTGTATTTTAAGTTGTAAATATTTATTTTTAAGATTTTAAAACATCTTAATTACAAGAAATATTTTATATTAAGTTGTTACAAATTACAATTTTGGGTTGGAATCCAATGTTTGCTTAAACAAATAGAGCTAGCGTAAATTATAAGAACATAATATTAAATATTTTTTGTAATTAAAATATTTAAGATCGTAAATAAATATTTACACTCATAAAATAAAAAACATTTATTATAAGGCTATATATATTCAAATTTAAAATGTTTTATTAAATGTTTTTGAAGATTTTAGTTATATATATACAAATTTTAAACACTACAAAAATAAGAGGTGAGAGATCACTTGGGGAGTAAAATAATCAATTTTTCATTTTAATTAATGAAAAACTTCTGGCCATTTAACAACATTCAAAAATCCTAAATTAAGACTGATATCCTAATTAGGGATATATTAAAAATATGGGCCTTAATTTGAATTTAGGTATTTTAATCAAATTTTATTGTGATTTTTTCTGAAGTTTAATCTTTTAGATTTTATGAGAAGCTTAGAGAAGCATAAAGATTACGGAAGAGAATTTAAGAATTTATAAGACCAAAAGTAAAAAAAAAAAAAAATTTAAACAAGAGAGCCCATCAACTGACCTAACATGCCATAATATATAAGCGTGGTATGTTAATCAAAACCCCACCCCTAGTAGCGTTAGCTGCAAGTGAGTGAGGGAGAGCGAGTTTTATTATCCCCAACAGCTACGTCGGGGGCATTCATAGGTGAGAGCTCAACTTATAAGCTTATTTTGGTACTCAAAATGACTTGCATCTTCAAAACACTTCAAAAGTATTTCCTACGAAAGAAGTGGTATTGTAGGAAGTAGAGCAAACTTAAGGACTAGAGCTTAAGATAAGTATTGAGTTTTTACGATAAATGATTGTAGAATTATACAGATAAATTAGTGATTTGTTATTAATATAATAATATATGATATTCTTGTCTCTCCTATTATCTCTATTATCATATTTCATCTTCATGGTCCCACAATTATCTCCTATTATTAAATAATCTGTAGATTCTATTGAAGTTGTAAAGTTATGCCTATAAATAGAAGGCATGTATCAAGTATTCAAGACATTGAATAGAATGAGAAATACCTTGATCTTCTCTTCTTTCTAATTCTCTCCTTTTTGTTAGAAACAATCTCACCCAAGAGGGGGGTGAATTGGGTGAGTTAAAAATTTTAAATTAAATGCGTGATAGTATTGAATAAAATCAGAGAGTCAGAGTAAGGAGAAATTTAACCGCAGAGAGAAGACACAAGATTTATACTGGTTCGGTCTAAACCACGTGACCTACTTCCAGTCCCCAGAACACCTCTGAGTATTTCACTATCTTCCAAGATCGACAGGGCTCTTGGTGCCTCGGTACAGTAATTGAATCGCTCAATCACTCCCCCTTACTCCCGTAAGGATACAAGCCCTCTCAAGAGTCCACACTCTTGAGTATCACTCAGGTATTTAATAAGAGTAGTAATTGGCTCTCTTACAGAGTGAATTTAATGATGAACACTGATGCTCGGTAGTAACGTGAAAACAGAGTATTGAATGCTAGACAAAATAATCGCAGGTGGTAGTTCCGGTATTCAATCTCTTCATTAATGCTTCTTTGCGCCTTTTATAGTTGATATCGTTAAGTAGCCGTTAGACAGAAGAGCTTCTAGGTGTTGTGACTCCGTTTGCGTGTTTCGCTGGTTTCAACGGCTCTGCCATTAATGCGTCTGAGCTT